AATATTAATCAGGTATTAAATATTATTATATTAATAATATTCTTAAGTTCATCTTCATCAAGTTCAACTGTTCAAGAAATCAAGTATTTCTATTATTTATTTATGATTTTTTTTATTTCTTTGCAGCCCATTATTGGTGGAGCCAACATGGGCATAGTTCTCCAAATTTACAAAAGTTGGCCATTCGGATCTTAAACCTAACCATTTCGTCATCCGGTTGTGAGCGCAATTGGAGTACTTTTGAAGGGGTAAGGCCATAAGGGTAATTTGTATAATTTTATAAATAATACATGAACCATAGCTATTAGATTTTAATTAGTTCACTTTCATTTTATTTTGTTAGGTTCATACAAAGAAAAGGAACAGGCTTGAAACAAGGAAGCTCAATGACTTTGTCTATGTCAAGTACAATTGATTCTTGAAGGACAAATTTGCTAAGAGAGATAATAGAGACCCCATCAAATCAAAAAATATGGACAATGCTATGGAGTCGTTAGTTGATGATGATGAGGTCGACAGGCATGAAGGATTGACATGGGACATGGGACATGGTCATGGATGCTTCAGGGACATCAGCTGACCCTCCTAGGGCCACTAGAGCTACTGCACAGAGAAAAAGGGTGGAGGAAGAGGAGGAAGAAGAGGCCGATTCACAAGAGACGGAGGAAGACGAGTCGCAATATGTCGAGGAGGGTGATGACTCCGTCGACTCCAATGAATATGATGCCAATGCAGCTGACCCAAGATTTTTGATGATGAATGAATGTTGATTGTTGAATAATTATTAAACTTTGTTACTTTGAAGTTTGAACTTTGATTGAAGTATTGTGTATTGAACAATTGATCTATCGAAGATTCTTTTGAGTCTTCAAGTATTACTTTCATAGTTTTATAATTTGGTTGGTTGGTTGGCATATTTTAAGTTTTAATTAGATATGGATTATGGAGTATGAACCGACTTATGGATTATGGTTATGCTTATGGAATGTGTGCTAAATGCTAATATGTAGTATAATTTGAATATAACTGATAGTCTGATACTCAAATAATTGCAGAATCCTTATTTGGATTCAATTGGACCGCCCAGGTTCTGGGCGGCCTGGACCCCCCAATCTGCCTAGGACCCGCCTAACACTAATCGTTGCAAGGCTGATTAACTTCAACAACCTCTCCTTGAAGTTCGTGGGTCTCAACTCGAACACCTCCCATGCCTTTATTTATGCTCTCTTAATCGGTTACTTCACATCCGCCATGATTTATGGCAGTATATTCTTGATCGTAAGACTAAGGGATATATTGACATGGCAAGAGATATGTACAAGGGAGCACTAATTAGCATGAGGACAACTAGTGGATAGACAAGTGAATTTTTAATGACAGTAGGCCTACATCTAGGGTCAGTGTTGAGCCCATATCTCTTTGTTTTGGTTATGAACTAGTTAACTGAGCATTTACATGATGAGATATTGTGGTGCATGTTGTTCATGGATGACATAGTTTTGATTGATGAGACTAGAGACGATGTCAACAAAAAGTTAGAACTTTGGAGGGATGCTCCAAAATTTAAAGGTTTTAAAATTAGTCAGACAAAGAAAGAATATATGGAATGCAAGTTTAATAATAATAGGAGTAGCAACAAGGTAGTAGTTACGATTGATGGCTAAGAAGTACCTACAAGAGATTATTTTTTATATTTTAGGTCGATAATTCATGTGAATGGAGAGACTACGGAAGATGTCACACATAGAATTAGAGCTGGGTGGGCGAAGTGGAGATGCGCTTTTGGGGTTTTATGTGATCGTCATATAACAATGAAACTGAAGGGAAAGTTCTATAAGACGGCTATAAGACCAGCTATGTTTTGTGGGACAGAATATTGAGCGCTCCAGAAACAACATATTTATAGAATAAGTGTAGCTGAGATCAAGATGTTGAGATGGATGAGTGGCAAGACAATAATGGATAGTTCAAAATAAATACATCCAAGGGAATTTATGGGTGGCTCTAATAGGCGATAAGATGAGGGAAAGTAGACTTAGGTGGGCTAGCCATGTGTAACATCGACCTAGAACATCAAGAGTTAAGAGGGGTCATTTGGTTCAAGTGGAAAGCTCTAAAATGGTAAGGAGAAGGCCCAAAAGAACATGGATGAAAGTAATAAGAGATATGATAACCTATGGTTTGACTGAGGGTATGGTCCTTGATAGAATGGAATGGCGAAACAAAATTCGTGTAGACTGTGATTAGGCTCGGATGGTTTTCTTGATTGTAAGATTGGCTTTTGAAGCCATTTTGATGTATGGAACTTCAAAGTACTAAAACCAATTGATGTAAGATGGGAAAGAAAATAAATAAATCAAAAAACTAAAAAGAAATCTTGAGTGAACATACCATTTCTCAAGGTCTGCAAGGGAGGTCCACCTTCCTTTCCACAAGACCAAAAATCAATTGTTCTTCTCTTCTCCTTTTCTAATCACATAATTGCATATTTATAGAAGAAAATCCCTAAACCTAACTTGCTCCCTAAGAAACACCTGATCGGTATGAAATCCTAGCCCTTCATCTTTTAAATATTAAACTTTCAATTCTACCCCTCAATTCTCTACAATAAAAAAAACGACACAAATACCATAACTTAAATAAATAAATAAAAATACCATATAACCTAAATCTACTTTAAGTACATAAAATGATTTAGTAAAAGAGAAAAAAATAAAAAATCCATTACATCAATATAATATGGAATTGTGCACTATGAGACCATATATCTTTGTTAAAAGGAAAACACATTTACTCCTAGCCAATAGTGTCAAACTGGATGGCTTGGGGTGTGTCACAAAATTTGAGAAATTTTTTTTTTTTTGGAACTTTGAGTCTAGTTAATGACACTCTTACAACTACCCGATTTAAAATCTGACAGACATAAGTAATTGTGACTTCCTTATACCAAAAGTAAATGGTCTCTTTGTATGCATTTTTTATATAATATAATATAATACAATATATATCTATATATATATATATATATATATATAGAGAGAGAGAGAGAGAGAGAGAGAGAGAGAGAGAGAGACACACACACACACACACGCGACACAGACAACAAACAAACAACTAGTACGTACTAACAACGAGTACGTACGACCTAGTAGTAGTACGTACGACCAAC